CCATTTCCCTCCCTTTACTTCTGCTCCTGTTCCACTTTTTATTTATAAAAGCTTTGTCTCCATTTTATGACTTTTCTTGTTTTTATTCCTTTGCTTTTCTTCCTTTCCCCTTTTTCCTTCCTTGTTTTCTTCCCATTCCACAATACCTACTATAAACTTTGGTCCTTATTTACACTTTAAGTTCCTCACAGCAGAGAAACAATGCACTATTTAGAAATATGTGTCCAATTTATTTCACTTAAGAGTATGTCCTCAAAGTGCATCCATTTACCTTGAAATGTCTGAAGTGTATCTTTCTTTATAGCAGAATAGTACTCCATTGTGTAAAAACCCATGTTTTCATTCATCGGTTGATGGACATTTGAACTATTTCCAAGACTTAGCTATTGCAATTGTGCTGCTATAAAGATGGTTATGCATATATCACTGTGCTATGATGCTTTTAATTCCCTGAGGAAGATATCAAGAAGAAGAATAGGGGGCTGGAGAGATGGCTCAGTGGAATAAGCACTTCCCTGGCAAGTGCAAGGGCCTGAGTTCAATCCCTGGTTCCGCCAAAAAAAAAGAAGAAGAATAGCTGCATTAAATGGAACCTGTAGTTTTTGGATGAATTTCCATACTGATTTTCACAGTAGCTGCCCCAGTATACAGTCTGACAAATAGCAGAGAACGGTTTCTTTCTCCCTACAGTACCTATAGCACTTGTTATTGTTTGATTTGCTGATAATAGCAATTTTTCTGGAGCGAGATGTAACACCAGCATTGTTTTAACTTGTATCTCTTCAAAGACCAATGATGACGAACATTGTTTTTTATCTTCCATTTGCCCTTCTTAATCTGAGAGTGTATATTCATCTCAGGTGCCCAATTTTTTTCTTTTGTATTTTTAGGGAAGGGTCTACAGGGTGTTCAGGGTCACACTACTAGATTGGACTCATAGTGATCTGCCTGTTTACAGCTTCTCAAGAGCTGGGATTACATACATGTGCCACCATGCATCTCAGAGTGCTCTAGGGTTGGGGCAGGCATGGCAGGCCCGGGGATCAAACCTCCGGCCCCTGCACTTCAGATGCCCAATTTTTGATTGGCTCTTTTGATTTGGAGGGTTAATTCAATCCAGTTCTTTATGTATTCTAGATATCTCTCTTTTGTCTAAGGAATTGCTGGCAAATATCCTTTCCTAGTTTGTGGTTCATCTCTTTACACTGTTGATTTCTTTTAATGTGTAGAAGCTTTTTAATAAGATAAGATCCAAGTCGTTGATTCTTTGTGATATTTCTTGTACAATTATGTGTCTACATTTATGTAAAATAAATATTATATTCCTTTTGTCTATCACAAAATTGTCTTCATTAAGAAAAACAATGAAGGTTTTATGCATGCTTCAGAAAATGTATGTGTTATTTATTGGTGAGTTCCCCTGTGTGTAAAAATGGAGAAGTTTCCAAACACAAAAGTTCCTAAGAGCTGTGAGAGTTATGGTCTAAGCTTTTCTGGGAACAGAAAGAATCAGCTCCATCATTCCTGTGCGTTTGGCTCCAACAATGTGCCTAGTACCTGCAGAAAAAACTTTGTTGGTCATTTCCAGCTACCATATATAAAAGTGTGTACTGTCTCAACTGTTGTGGCTCTGAGCCAGCATAGACTATTTAGTATTGTGTTTGGACCATGGGGCCCCCACTCTAGCACCCAGAATACCATTGCTAGATTATGTAGTTATTCTCTGCTTCCTCTCTAGATTCAGTCTCTGCTCTTCTCTATAGCCAGTGAAAGTAAACACTATACCATCTAACTACTACCATTACCCTCTTATTTCCCCTTGAGTTTAAATTGTGGGAGTTGGGTTATGAGGGAAACAGTGGGCAGGAGTTAAGAGAGATGCACCCACTTCATCCCTATCTAGCTCTTGACAGACTACCTCCACTCTTGTTAGCTTTGTGACACTGCTACTTCTTCTCTTTGTTTAAAGCCCAGGGATGATAATTGATGAGTTCTTCCCTTATTGATTTAAGCAACCCTACCCATACCTCTGTAAATAAATTCTTCATTCAATTCTCTTCCGTTCAACCTTTGAGCATAACTTGTTTTATGTAAGCCAAACCTTGGCCATATTCACTCATGCAGCACTACTCCATTTCTGTACTTTACATTCACTGCAATTGCTCTTGTACTATAAATCATAGTAACAATTATTTCTCAATCTTTGTAAGTACAACTGGCAATGATTGGTATTTGTTGTAAAAGTAAATAATATTTATGTGCTCCCCAAATAATTTATTTCATGTGTCATTTAAACCTTTAATTTTCTTTCCATTTGCTCTTCTTAGTTGTAGTAGAGGGACTTCTGACTTATTTTTAGCAGTTGGGGAAGGTAAATTGCTTCTGGCACCTGTTGACAGAAATCCATAGGAGCCATAACTCTGAATTATTTAGTTTTGTATCTGTAGATTCTTAGTGAAATATTAAATATCAGCAACTTGGAAAAAATATCTTCCTTTTCCTTATCCCCAACCTTACTAATGACTGAGATCAAAATGCATTTAACACCATGCTGTTACCTTGTACCACACCACATGTGGCTCCTGATCAGACTTTTTAAAATCATCCATGTCTGGGCAGGAAATCTCTTTTCTTTTAGTGACTTCAGACTTTTCTAAGTAGCGAATTCTGCTGTTGTAGCACAGGCCTGATTCATTCTCTGCAACAGTCAAGGACATTGACACCTTCATGCAATATGTGGAGTTTCTGTTGGAACATAAAAATAACAAAATGACTTTATTGAATGTTTACATTTTTCTTCTCTATATATTTCAAGCATACTGACTTTTCCATTTAGGGCATTACCTAGAAATCACAAATAATATCATAATTGTACATAGATGTTTCCTGCTTCAACTGACAGGATGATATGAATAAAATGAAAATGTGGACATCTCGCCTTGAGGCATCTACTGTGGTACATATGGGAGATATACTCATCCACAAAACTTTAAAATAGGCAGAATGTTTTTCCCAATAGTATATATTGTCACGCTGAAAATCTGAAAGTGAACTCTTGTGTGAAAGTTTCCATAATTATTGCAGTTATTTCTTTTCTTTCTCTGTGGCTATTCCTTTACTAGCTATTGCAAAGATTGTTAAATGTTAGCATGGGTTCATAAGCCAAAATTTCTTTTATAGAAAATAATATCAAAACAAAGAGTATAACTTTTAAAATATTTATTAAAATGTGTCAAGGATCAAGTTTTGGGTTCCCATAAAGAAAAACAATCTACTAATGATTGATAAGTTGTGATTAATTTTCTTCAACAATAGTATCACTTACAAGATATTTCAAAGTTGAATTTTATAATCAGCCAAATATAGAAATGGGACATTAATTGGCTAACTCATTATGTGGGAATATTTTTGGAATAAAAATTGTGCTATAACCTACCATGGTTAGTGCTCACTCAATATGTGAGTTCAAAAACATATCTGATTAAATATAAACAAACAACTAAAAAATAAATAAAATACTTTACATTCATTTCTCTATGCATACATGGTGACTTTTCCCTGACCTAGACCAGAAGATGTCAACACAAAAGTAAATTGAAATCTGTGGTAAAGAGATCAGAAGCAGCTTAGGAAAACTAAGAAGGTCAGCCATAAAAAAGGTCAACCATAAATCTTGATGGTATTTAATCTTACTTACGGAAGACATTTCAGGACCATATCTATTCTAAACATTAATGGATTTGTGCTGCCAAAAATATAAAGTACCAAGTGTACTGACACAAAACTAATTATTTTTTTAACTACAAAGTGATAACAGTCCTAAAGATGGAATCAACATGGTGAACATGAATTTTAAGATGACACCAGATGATTGGTTCTATGAATTTTAGTCATCAAATTTTCACACTGTCCCAGGAACCATACAGAAAACAATACAGATGGCCATATGCTTTGAAATTATAAAATAAGTTAACAAAAATGACTTTTACTTAGGTCTATAGTAAAGCTAATTACTAGCAAGTGTCCTTGACAGCCTGGGCAAATGTCATTAGAGAAAAATGCTAATAAAGCACTTCAATTCTGAAGTTAAAATGCAACTTGCTTATACCATGTACGTTATTATTTTCTCTGTTCTCAATGTGGGTTCCTGAAACCCTAGAGGCTTATGTTATGCTATTTGGGATCAAACTTAAAAATCTTTCATACTTTTGTTAGATTATTGTGCAGCCTTCTCTATAAGTCACAAAGATATAGCCACTTTTAAGTAAAGGTCTCAGGAAAGGAAAAAGAAGCTTGGCTCAATCAATTTAACTCTGCTTTACCATGTTTTAAGTACATAAGTGTTAAATGTTTTAAGGTTTCCTTGCCTCTACCAAGACCATATATGATCTGACCTATCATAACACTCTCTTCTTCATTCATTAAGATATAACCACAATAGCATTTTTCTGTTGTTTGAATATACCTATTCAAACCATAAGCCTTTGTACATGCTTTTCTCTTGGACCTTTTAACATTTGTCTGCTGATAACCATAAGGCTATCTATTGCAAATAGTTTGTTACTCTATCCCTAGAATCAAAATGAACAATTTGTCTTCAACATTAATTGATTAAATGTGTGAACATCAAAAAGTATGTGTTTGATATAGATGCACTGGAGCAAACAACATGGTGAAGGCTGGGGGAAAAGTAGTGGCAAGAGGAAGAAAGGCTTGTAAAGGAAAGCCACTGTAGCAGACCCAAAAAGGCTGCATACTCCAGGGCTGGAATATCAGAAGACAGGGCCCAACCTCTAAAGTGACTGGTTTCCCTCTAGGCTTCAGCATTCTAGAAATTAAGAAGAAGGAGCAGCAACACTTATTGTTCACATGGTGGGAACAGCAGCAGCACAAGAAAAAGCTGACTTCTAAGAAACAACTCATAAAAGAGAAAGAAGCCAGGATTACTTTTTTTTTTTTTTTCAGAACTGGGTATTGAACTCAGGTCCTTGCGCTTGCCAGGGAAGCACTTATTCCACTGAGCCATCATCCACATGGCTGCACTGACAAAGGTTCTACAATCTGAGGTACAGGATCTCAAGATAAATCCTGAGGGCATTTCACTGATCTTCTCAGACCCAAAAGCTACAACTCCTGTTGCACAGGTCCTGCTTTACCTTGGTCTTAACCATCCAGTAGAAAAGTATGAAGACGAAATATAGGAAGTAAAGCCATGCTGTTATGTTGAGCTGTGGGGGACTCAGGTCAATAATTTCTGACATTGCCAGTTAAACAGAAGACCCAATGCTATTATGGGCTACTGGACTCTTTTAGAATATTTTGCTGAGTTTACACACCTATAATATTCAATAACGGAACTTAGAAAAAATGGGGTATACCAATGAATGTCCATTTTGTTTTTGTGTATTCCAAGTGGTTAGGATAGATATATAGTTGCATTCTCTTAATGAATAGAATGATTTGTTCTAATGGTGTTTGTAAACAGGATCTCAAGTCCGCATCTTGTACAGCAATTAACCACTAAGAAGAATATATGCAGTGTGTTATTTGTTGAATCTGTACTTCCAGTTTGATAAGAAACTGTCTCATTGCTATCTGTTTATCAATAAAATTTTGAAAAAAAAGAGAAAGTAGCTCTTGGTAATAAGGCTCCACCAAAACTTGTAACCAAGACTACTGACAACCAATGAATCTATGAAACTGCAGTAGACGCTAATGATAAAGAGGCTGAATATGATGAAGCCACAGATGAGTTTATTCCTTACTTCAACAGAGAAACTTCTCCCAAGATTCTCATTACAACATCAAATAGACCCAATGGGAGAATGGTCAAACACTGTCAGCAGCTCTCAACAGTTATACCCAACTCACATATTTATTATAGAAGAAGAGTGTTGTGCAGAAAAAAAAATTTACACAATGCATCACAAGAGATTTCACAGACCTAATTGTGATTAATGAAGATTATAAAATACCAAATGGACTTATTTTGAGTCACTTGCCAAATGATCCAACTGCTGATTTTAAAACAGTGTTCATCTTCAAAAAGAAATTAAGAGAAGAGGCAAAGACCCAACAGAACATGTACTTGAAATAATTTTGAGTAATTTTACAATAAGTTTGGGTCATTCAATTAGACATATATTTCCTTCTTTTTTCTCCATATTATTCAATTTATTGGGAGACAGTTTGCCACATTCCACAATCAGAGAGATTATATTTTCTTCAGATTTCATACAGGTACATACTCAAGAGTGAAAAAAGTGGGAATTGAAGAACCTGGACAATGTTTTACCTTAAAGTTAAGATCTCTTAAGAAAGGAACCTTTGATTCTAAATATGGACAGTGTGAATGGGTCCATAGGTTCAGGAAATGGATACAAGTAAAAGAAAATTCCATTTATAAAGTACTATAGAAATAAATATTGGATTTTGGTGAAGAAAAGTATGTGTTCAGGAGATATATCATTTCTGTTGTAGTTTTACATCAACCTCATGTGGTACATCCATTTTCTTTAGGTTCAGGTGGATAAATAGTCTAATATCAATATTCTTATTAAAACATGGCCTAGATCATTTGTAGGTGTTCTTTCTTTCTTCCTTTTTTTCCCCAGAACCAGGGATTGAACTCAGGCCCTTGCACTTGCCAGGGAAGCATTTATTCCACAGAGCCATCTCCCTGGCCCCTTGTAGGTATTCTCAGAAATCTATTCAGAGAAATATTGCCTAAGTTCTCTAGATCAGTATATTGAGAAGTAATAAATGTATTCATAGCCAATAGAGAAACAAGACTGGGGCAGGGACAGGGCAGAAGATAAGAAAAATAGCCACATGTTTTAAAAGGTATTCAATACAGAAGAGAGGGAAATACCCCTGCTTGTGTTCAAAGTATTCCAAAAACTTCTTGATATTACAGATTTTTATCATACCTACCCTATTGTATTACTTCATACAAATAAGAAGTTTACTTGTGAAATACCGGCCCAATAGTATGTTATACCTCCATGAAAAGAGAACTGCTAGCCAGGCTCTCAATAATAGAAGGAATAGGTAGACTATCTAATGCTCTGAAAGTTCATAATCCCACATAAAAGTATTTCTGGGCAGAGAATAGAGTACAATAAAGGACAAGACTATTAGTGTGATTTCTTAACAAACCAGCAACTATAAGCTCAGGTCCACTTGGTTTAAATACCTTGGTGACAGACATCAGATAAGTTATTCAACCTCTGTTAGTCTCAGTTCTCTCAGTTGAAAAGTGGGTAAAAGAATCTGTTTTTCGATGTAGTTGCTCAGATTACAGACATAAGCATGTAAAATTGGTCAAAGTAAAACTTTTAAGCTTTAACTGCTTAAACAACCACTGTTGAATACCTACCATCTGTTTTTTTTGCATGATAGTTTTGTTTTTAATTGTCAAAACAAGAAATTGCCCACTACAAAATGCATGACTCAAAAACTATGCTGAGTAAAGTAAGCCTCACATAAAAGTATAAATCATATGATTCCACTTGAATAATGTTATGTAATGGACAACAATCAGAACAGTGACTTTCAGTTGTGGGGGAGGGTGTGAGATATGGGAGAGTGTTATATAGGAAAGGGTTAATCCAAGAAAGATAAAAACAACTTTATGCAGTGATTGAAATATTTTATATATTTGTCAAAGCTTGCATTGGTCAAAGCTCAGTGGATGTATATCTGACATTTATGCATGCCGTTGTATGTACCTTTTCTACCAAAAG